GACTGGGGCGGGGGGGTGGAAACTGAGAGGCAATTGTTTTCCTCCCCAGCTACCTTTGCATGACTCGGGCTCCCCAGAATCTCTCCCTCCTCCTTCCAGCCTCCTCTGTCTGAATCTGTTCTTGGTTCATCAGTGCACTCAGTCACTTTTCCATTTGTGTAGAACAGCCTCCATGCCAAAGCTGTAGATGTTGGAAACCTGTGAAGAAAACACACTAGGTAACTAAGATCTGATAAAGCACATTTCCAGGCTAGTTTGTGGTTTTGTTGAGGAATCTCTGGCAACAGAGCCTCCACTCTGGACTTGAGTAACCGTGAAGCTTTCTAGGTGAGGGCAAGTTTGTGAAAAGGGCCTGAAACCCTCCCAAGCAGGATGGTAGGTGTGTCATTAGCTCCTTTCCAACCCTTCTACCCAGGATCCCACAGCACAAGCTACATGGGGTCTCTTTGCTTAAGGCATGGTCCACCTGCACAGATACAAGGATAAGTGCAGTATATAGAGTTGCCTATGCTGCTAGAAAGGGGGCCAGAGAAGATATTGAGCTGAAGCTAAAGACTGAAGAAAGGGAATGCGCCTGCATAAGGCTGCTGAAAAATCACCACTCGATGTATAAGGAAACTGCCTGCTGTCCCATGTAGAGAGAAGAGGCAAATGACATGGGCAGAGCTGAGTGCTGATGGAGCCTTCCTGTGTGATGAGGAAAACCTCATCAGAGACTTGTAAGGCAGAAAATTCCTGTCACCTAGGAGACAGGATAAAGAGATACAGGCAGATGCTACTATGAATGTTGGTACAGGTCTAACATTATGTTCTACAGCACTCACCAGCTTATGCCCTCTTTGAAGACCTGTGCTGCTGTAGGTCTGGCTGAAGGCCGGAGCTAGAGAGATGAGTGGGAGATTCCCCAGCCTCCCAGCCCTGCCAGGGACCCAACTCTCAAAACCAGACACAATTTGACATCATCATTATTCTAGGACAAATGTCCTAAACTATCTCTAGAATACATTAGTCCCACGGGATAGTCATTCCTCTGTGCATGTGTGCATGCATGCATGAGTTTGTGTAGAGATGGTCTTGACTATCTATGAAGCACCGTGCACTGAATCCATCTAGGGAGCTGTTAACAGGACTGGCATGCTAAAGGTTCTGAGAAAACCTGCAGAGAGTATGCTAATGGTTCTAGTCCAAACTTATTTGTCCTCATTCAAATCCTCTATTCCTCAGCTAGAAAAGTCTGTCCTTAAGAAGGCTTGAAGGCAATTTTTCAGAGGCCTAAAAACGAGACCTGGGCTTCTCTAAGGAGGAAAACTCTGCATATTATGTAAGGTCCAGTCTGCCCCCCCCCCGTAAATGCTTATAGAATGGTAAGTGAAGTGATGGCTAGCTAATGTGTTCCCTTGCTGAGAATAACTTGGAGTTCTGAGCGGAGGCAATGGCATTGGAGTGTAACTTCGGCAGCCTAAAGCAGGGCCTTGGCCCTTCCTTTCTCACCTGCCCCCTTTCTCTCAGCTACTTGGGAAAAGGTAAGAGACAGAAATAGTAAAATGGTTAATTCAGGCATGGCAATATACACCTGGGATCCTAGCCTTCCAGAGGCTAAGGCGGGAGAATTGCCAAGTTCAAGGCCAGCCTGGGCTACATAGGAAGACTCTGTCTCTAAATAAATAAACTAATAATAAAGGAAAATGGTTTAAGGGCATACTCATTGGAACCAGACCATCTGGCTGTGAATTCCAGTGCTGTTCCTCTTTTCCTGTTCCTTCAACAAGGTGCTCCCCTGCAAAAGTAGTGGCCAACTCAGTGGCACCCAGAATGAAGTGTGTTCATCTATTTCCATCATGAAGCAAGCAATGTAGGTATAAGGAAGCCTTCCTGAGTGTCCTTTCCAACAACTCCTGGCAGCCCAAAGAATCTCCTATTTAGATTGAACCAACTGCAAATCCACCTTCCCCATCAGCCTCAGGAAGGGCTGGATGCTCTTCCATCCTTTACAATAGGCAGAACTGCTCCAGGTCAAGCTTAGGTTCTATTCATGGTTTTCAAGCTGGAGCAGCTGCCAGGATGGGTTGATCCCAGGGACTCTAATGCGTCTATTATTAATTTTCTGCAAGCAGCCATTAACTTCCCAGACAAGTTTCTGTCTGTAGATGACTATAGTCTTCTCAGAGCACTCCTACCCTTTGTACTTCTCATGGGGCCTCATAGGAAACAGCCCCCCTCCAGCCCCTGTCTCCCTGGGAAGGTGGACTGTGGTGTACTGGATCTGACCTAAGGAGCTAGGAGTCTTGTTTCTCCTTCACACCTCCCGCCTCACACATGGTACAGATTGTAGAGATCTCCTATCCTATTAATCACTAAGGGCTGTGATGCCATTGACAGTGTGCCATGCATCCAGTCCTTCCTCTGTGTGATGTCACCAGGAAAGTCCACACAGCTGTCGTCCTTACCTTCCAAGATACCTTCCCCAATCACTGAACTAAATCAGAGCTGTTTCTTTGTGTCCCCTGGGGCACAAATCCCTCTTTAAAGTCACCTTCAAATCTCTCAGCTGTTGGGGTCCTGACTTTGCCCCTGGACTGTCAGCTTGTGAGGGCAGGGGACTGTTCATGTTCTAGCATACTCAGCAATGTGAATATCCTCCCAGTGATCACTGCAAGAGTGGACTTTACCTCCCTCCCTTCCTCTCTCTTTTGCTTCCTCCTCTCTGTCTTCCTGATCCCCTTCCTTATTTCCTTCATTGTTCTTAATTACATCAGAAAGGGAGTTAGTAATCATCCAGTCAAACAATGCCCTAGAGGAACCCATGGGCCCACTGTGGGGAGAAAAAGGACCAAATAGGGAAAATCTAAAACCTCCAATCTCTCAGCCCAGCAATCCATACTTTGTCTCTCCTATCATCAGAATAAAAGGTTCTTCCATGATAAATGATTTAGACAACTTCAATCTATTCTTATATTCTCCCCTCTCTTTTTTTCCAAAACAAAACTGTGCCAAGTGCCCCATATATGTTCAGTCACAACAAACAAGGTGCTGTCCTCATTTGTAGATGCAGAAGATGGCTCCAGTTACCTCAGAAACTTGCCTGTGCTGGACATTTCACCAGTGTAACAGGTCCAGAGTCCACCAGAGCTGCCACACTCCAGTCTCTCATTGGCTACCTCCCACCCACCTCTTGGGGACTTGTGATTCAATCCTCAGCCAACCTTTGAGCCTGCCATGGCCACAAGTACCAAAGATAACATCCATATAAACCACTGGGGATTAACTGGGCACCACTTGCTCATTTAAGAGCAGACCCTTCATTCCTGGGGTTTCCTGGCAGTGAGAGAGAGTGTTGCTCATTAGAGAAGCACCAAGTCTGTGCAGGTCCAGGGAAGAGCTGGCTGCCCCCACATAGTGCCCTTATCCCCAAAATAAATCTCTCCATGACCTGGAGGACGAGTCCCCATCCTGTCCACACAGGCTGGCCCTTGCTTCCCAAATATTAGGAACTTCTTCCAAGGAAATCTTAGACAGTCCAGGGAAAGAAGCCATGGTCTAGATGGTATCTATTTCATCTTGACCTTTACAGTCTCTTGACAATTGTCTCCTTTGTTCCTGGCATAGAACATTTTGACTTTCACTTTGGAATGAAATCTAGCTTGTTTCCACAATAATGGAACTAGAATGGAAAACAAGAAGGCTAAATTCTCACCCCAACTCTCTAGAGAATTTACTAGGCATGTCACATGGCCTCTTACATCTCAGTCTCTCCATCTTTAAAATGGGTGTTTTGGAGTCTACAATCTCTCCTCTCTGGACAAGGATAATGAAAAAGTTTAATTTGGGAGCCATGCTTCCTGAACCCCAGCTCTGCCTCTGCTAGTGTGTGACCTAACCAAGCTATATGAGTTATCCCTGGTTTTGTGTGATTATTTGCATAATGCAATAATAATAATATGACCATCTCATAAATTTCTTGTGGGGGTTAGCATATAACACTTCTAGAGGAATGTCCAACACATGGCACATTGTTGACTGTGGCTGTTATCATCATGAATCCATATACAGTGTAAGTCTACACTTTTCAGTTGCCAAATAAGATCTACAGTCTCCTGGTGGGTAGCATTTATTCCCTTTGCTTTTGTTGGTTCAGGAAACTCATGACAGAAAGCTGTTATGAACCTGATAATAGTTGAAATGAATGTGTGCAGAACATAATAGCTCCCACATATGTTGTGCAAGACAATGACATATATAGGCGGTGTATAGAGAAATAGTGTACATGTTCCTAAAAGTGCCAGTACCAATGTGTCTCCCAGTTAGAAACCTCCAATCTAGATTGCTTTTTTTCTTCCAGTTTGATTCTTGCCCACAGTAGATGTTAAATCAATGTTGGAATAGACAAATGTATTTACATATGTATAGGTGGGTGGGTAGATGGATGAATGGGTGAACAAGTAGATGGATGATGAGTAGGTGGGTATATGTATGAATCTACTTTATACTTGCTTCTTCATTTAATTTAAGCAGAGTAATAAGTGTGTGCATATATTAATATGTGTGTGCATGCACACCCATGAGCTTTTACAGAGGATGCTCCAGTTATTTCTTTTGCAGGGAAGTAGATGGCCATAGCTGTGTATTTGCATATCCTCCCATCTGTTAGCATGCAGGGTCATTTATCAGAGTCCTTTCAGCTGCCCATCGTTGACAACAGATATGCACTCTTCTGCTTCTTCCATGCCTTTCTCCTCAAACAATGAGGGTTTTGTGCTAGTAATATTGCCTGTGGCTGCTTCTTTCCCAAGGCCTGGTCTGGCTTTTATCAGTGGTATTGATGGAGGAGGGGTTCCCAGAAAGTTGGATCCAGGGAGTGGTGCCGTGGCTAGGTGCCAACTGAGCAGGACAGGCTAAGATAGTTAATCCAGGTCTGCTCTGGGAGACAGGCAGCCTGATTACCTGAGCTGGTTATCCAGCTATTTGCAGCTGTTGCATTACCATCATCAAGCTGTTCTCCCAGGGGAGGATGGAGATCTGGAAGGGATGGGATGGGCATGGCAGAGTTGGGTACTCTTGAGTGTGAAGAATCTTGCCCCACAGTGCAAAGGGCTGCTCTGGCCTCTGCCTCTTAGAGCTCCAACTCCCTAATGAGATTAAAATGCCAACACCCTGCCTCTATGAACACTTGGAACACATTGACTTGAGTTGCTTAATGAGCATTAGTCAGGAATCTAAGCGAGGTCTGGGCAGGCGCCTGGCTGATGCCTTCTTGATTAGAATACTGAATGTGGCACCCTTTGAAAGCCAGAAATTGTCAAAGGCCAGGCTCTAGGCTCCATGTAGAGAAATCCTTGGTAACTCTACACCCCCCTCCCACACACACACACACACTCACACACACAACTTCCAGACCTTTTTACATGCTCACTGATCTGGTACAGGATGATTGTGACAGGGAAATTGGTAACAAAGACAAAACTGATGATAATTATCACAGTAGCAAACAATGGCTATCAAACTGGCACCCACCAGAAACACTTGAGGATTGGTTTTTGGAAGATTTGGATTGGTTTTCTTCTTTAGAGATATAGTCTTATGTAGTCTGAGCTGACCGCAAACTTGCTATATACATATAACCAAGGATGACACTGAACTCCTGATCCCCACGCCTCTGTATCCCAAGTTGCTAGGATTATAGGCATAAGTCCATGCCCAGTTTGTGCTGTACTGGGGATTGAACCCAGAGCTTCATGCATGCTAAGCAAGCACTCTACCAACTGAGCCACATCCCCAACCCCTTGGATAACACTTTCATGGTTCTCTTTCTCTAGACCCAGAGGCCCAGAAATCTACCTGCTTAATGAAGGTGCTGGGAGTACCTGTGCTCTGACTGAGCCCCAACATCGGGAACTGTTGTTCAGTCAGTGCAGGCATTAGGAACTGCCACTTCCTAACCTGTACAGCCTTGCACCTTCTGTTTAGCCTCTGCGCCTCAGCTTTTATCATCTCTAAAATGAGATTGGTTAAAATAATAGCAACTGAAATTGAAAAATTGAATTACAATATGACCCACTAAGTCCACTTCTGAGCACACATCTAAAAGACATAAAAAGCAGGGAG